AAAAAAAAAAAAAAAAAATTCCTACAGAGCTTCCTTCTCCAAACTGGTACCCTGTGAAGACATTTACACTTTTTTAAAGGGGAGTGAGTGGCTGCCATCCCAGCTTGGTAAGATCTGTACGTTCACTCTGCAGTGTTCAATGGTTGTACAAATGGCAAAGCACTGACAAGTCAGGTACAAATCCCTTCACCATTTCAGCATTAGTACTTCTGTCTTTCAGTGTGATACCTATCCTAGTAATGAGATTAGCATACAAACAAAATACATCATACTTAGTAAGGGGAAACTTTTTTACCATGTTGAAAAAAATACATTAAAAAAGGTAATGGAGACAATTCAATTGAACAAGTTCAGATACCTCTAAGCCTAAGTGCAGGTAGTATCTGTCCATTTAAAGACAATTTGTTTCCCATTACATGAAATAACTGATGTTCAGGAGTATCAGTTCAGAGCGATACAAGGGGCCAGTGTAAACAGATGTCAAATAAAATGGAGGTCCCGCTTAATCTCATATCCCTCCTTCTTGTTTCCCTCTCTGGCTCCCAAGCTGCCATCAGCAAACAAGCTACAGTGACTTACCCTGGCTGGTCCTGTAATTGACACCAGTCTCTATTTTCCCTCTGAACTCTGAATTTTTGGGTACCCAGGAGCATTCTTGGTTGCTGTCACCATCTCCAAGAGAGTTTTTGGACTAACAGGTCTGGAACAAAGTCCCTCCCACCCATCAATCCTTCACCCAGTGCAGAGTAGGACTTACTGGCCATCCTCTGCTGGTTGCGGCAGGTGTATTTCAGTGTAGTAACAGAGGAAAACAGATTCCCAGTGCTCCTGGCCACTAATCGGACCTCCAAATAGACCCCATGGCATTGCTTTTATAAAGAAAAAATTCGAAGTGGAGTGACAAAAAATACCTGGTAAACCAAGTAGCAAAGGTGCCATAGAAGAGCTGCAATGAAAAATCAGCCTGAAATCAGGAACCTGCTACCTTTAAAGCTTCCAGCCTGCCTGCCGCAGGACTATAACCCTTCCCTAGGTTATAACAAGTCAGACAACTCCAGGGTTTATTGGAGTTGAATTGCCAGTGGTTGAGCTTAGAATTATTTAGCACAGGTGTTTCTATAACAGTGATATATTGGGAAAATTCAGTGTTCAACAACCATCATATTTCCAGCTGTGCTGTGGTTAGTGCTAGTACAGTGAACCTAATATAAAACATGTGAGACTATTTGCTAGCTCAGGAACTTGTTAAAGGTATTTTCTTACAATATCTGAGCTGCTATGTTTATCTAGGTGCATTTCTTTGGTCTTGCATTTTCATAAAGGGTGTGATATTGGTTTTATAAAAGCTGTCACTGAACCTGGAATCTGCTTCTCTGTGACCCAAGTGCATTAGTAGCCCTGCTAGCCAGTGCGCAGCACACGGGCAGGTGAAAATAAGATTATGAGGAATCCAGTGACAGTCCATTATCCTTAGCACATTCGTCTTCAGCAGCACCTGTGCATCTGTTACATATATAGGCATGTTTTTACTAGGGGTGCTAGAAATCTTGAAGCAAGTGTTGCAAGCATCTATATGTAAAAGAACATAAAGGGAGCAAAGTTAACAAGAGGCTGGGGGACTGTAAAACAAGGGTAGTGAAGTGCGTTCACCAGCAGCAAAATTTGTGAGTGTTGAAAGAGGTTTTATATGTACACACGCACACATGTGCATTTTTAGGGGTTCAAAAGACTCATACACGAACATAGTAAATGGCTGGAGAATGTATAAAAGGTGTTTGTAAAACACATGCAAATAAAAATACAGTCAGAGACAGGCGCAGAACACGCGTGTGCTCTGACCTGAGTTGTGCAAAGATGTTTCTTTAATAACTTTGTGCCACAACAGGTCATTATTCTAACATTCTGAAAGATATTCTCTGGTGTCACCGTAAATTTCCAACAGCACCTTCAAGCGATGGCTGAAGGTGCTGTGGATCTTTTCTTGGGAAAGAAGATAAATGCCACTGTGTATCCATGCTCAATTGTTGTATGCATTAATGTTGCATCTGGCTAGGAAAAAATACATCTACAGACTAGCTTGGCCCTATTATTTATAATTTACCCGATAGAGAAAGTGGGTGTCTTTTAGCTATGCACTGCATATGTTGTAGGAGAAGCAGCAAAGGCACCTCTCCCTGGTTTGAGAGAGAAAGCCAATGTGAAAAAGGAACTTTGATTCGAGGAAGGATCTCTTCTCTGATTTGAGAAAGGAACTCTACATTTGTCATGGCTGAGTTGATGCTCATAGGCAGTCATTCTGTCCATGTCCTGGTGATATTTAGAGACATGGCTTTACAGCTCTGTTGGAGCCTTCTTGGGGACAACGGGTAGAGCAAGCAGAGGTCTAGAACTGGAGTCAGTTTTTCTTGGTAGCCAGAGACTAAGTTGACATTTGTTAGGAGCTGGCATCGGCAGTTTGGATCCAACGTAGAATCACTGAGAATTGGATGCAACTTACTGAATATTTTACACCCATTGGCTGGTTAGTAAGATTAAACACAATCATGTAAAAACTAAGTAAATCAAATCCTACTCTTTCAAAAATACCCTCTTAATTGGAAACTTCTTGTACATAGTAGTTTGTCATTTATCTTTGCAATTTTACTTTCACTGAACTCTGAAAGCCCTATCTCTACCTTATTATGCTCCAGTTTACCGAATGTGCAGACATTTATCAAATGGGCCATCAGTAGCCGTAGAAATGCAGTAGTATATCCAAGTTAAAATTCTTGCTTTGATTACTACAAATCCATGGAGCCCTTGGGTCCAAAGCTTCCACTGAAGCACAGCTATTTGCAAATAGATTTTTATAGCACATTAGTGCTGGAGGAGAGTCCAAAGAAAATAGTCCTTTTCAATATTAGAACCAGCTGTGACTTTCTTGTGCTGATGACTCATTCATTTTTTTTATAGGGTGGGAGAACTAGGCAAAAGACACACAGAGTCTTATTCAAGACGTTGTTTGTTTTGCAAAGGGTATCCTAGCCACAAGCCAACTTGATCATACCAATACGCAACTCATGTTTATTTAAAACTTTTTTTCTTTTAACAGTTCCAATTATAAAAACAGAACCCACAGATGACTATGAGCCTGCTCAAACCTGTGGACCAATGAACCAAGGCTTAAGCCCTCTCTCTAAACCATACTACAGCCAGCAGATCATGATGCCCCCTGATCCTGGTTCGTGCCTCGTGGCTGGCTTTGCCTCCTGTCAGCAGAGAAATGCCGTGATGTCACCCTCTCCCAACGCAAGCCCCAAGCTGCACGACCTTTCGTCCTCTCCTTACAAGTGCATCCCCAACCCAGGCCACAGTCACCTCGGACTTCAGCAGCCCGCTGGAGGTGTCCCCACCATACAGGAAGTGCCAAGGTCTATAGTTGTGCACCCAAGCTCCCCCGAGCAATCATCTCACATCATGCTGCAGCCGCAGGTGAGTCAACATCTGAGCAGTAGCTGTCCCCTTGGTTATCAACAAACACTCTATCCCAACAGTCCCTCTTCTCCAGTTCCATCTGTTACCCAAGAGCCAACCTATTTGCAGTCGTGCAGTCCAACTCACTCATCCATAATGGGTCAACAGCAGCAGCAACTGCCGAAGGTTCACAGAAATGAGTCTCCAACAACCCAACCACTGTCATTGCCAGAGTTGCATGAGGAAAGTAATCATAATTTGGCCCCTATTCCTGTAACGATCAAGCGAGAACCTGAGGAATTGGACCAGATGTACCTGGATGATGGTAAGTCCTCCGCAGCATAGGTTTGCGTTCAACCATGTTGCTATCAGTGAGTTCCCTTAACCCCCCTCCTCCTTTTGAATCCTGGTGGAAAAAAGTTCAATTAACAGCCTGGTGGAATGGTGCGGACTTTTGCTTGGATTGTCTCTATATGGGCAAGGGCTCTTTAATTTCGTTTGTGATAATGAAACTGTATTATCTAAGCATTAAATGCTGTTAGTTACTGTAGAGCTAGCTGCATGACCGATAGCTATGTTGCAATAATCTTAACCGTATGGTCTTGGCTTATGCCGATGCCAGTGACCTGTGGAACTGCAGTGAAAACATATTTAACATTGTCCCATCCATAATGCAGTGAAACATCTGAATTGCAAATCTGTTCACTGGAACTAAATGATAAACTGCTCTACTTCAGTTGAGAAGGTTCAAATTAAAAATGGAGGCACATCTTTCAGCGTAACTTTTCACTCTGGTAGCCTCTGACATTAAAACTACTTTTTCTTCCAATCTTATTGTGGCTTTGCTGCTGCTTTTTGGTTTTTTTTGTAAGATTTTATGTGTATATGTATTCTACACGCACCACCGAAAAGTTAAAATGCTGTGATGAACTTGTCAGACTCCAGTTTCCAAAGATTTATTAGTTGAACGTAATAAAAGGGATAATCTGGAATTTGATTATGTGACCTCACTGAACTGTGATTTAGTACTTGCTGTTAAGTATCCCAGTAGTATTCTGGACCCTCACCTTAATGCAGTACGTGAGTTCCCTTCCAATAGCCACATAACTTTATATAACATACCATGCTATTTGAAGAAGAAATGCCTTTGAAAGGGCTGCATTGAAACTAACGGGTGCCAAGGAACATCTGAATGTGATTGTCTTTCAGGAAGAATTTAAAGACAATTCATTGTACTGTTTTTAAAAAAGGGCATGTAGTCATTCTATTTTAAACAGCGTGATACTCACTGAATTAGGATTACAAATGAATGTTTTGGAGCTTGAGTAGCAGCCTTTTGCTTTTCAACTCTAGGAAAATGATTTTTCTTAACAGAAGTTATTATTGGTTGCAGGATAGACAGGTCTAAGGAATTTTGCCTAATTAGGAGTTCAGTTCAAGTTTTGCACAACATATCTTTTGTGACAAGCCTTTCTTCATACAGCACGGACTTTTACCACATATCTGTGCTGTAAGGAGCAAGATTCCAACAAACCAAACAAGAAAGGCACAGAAACCAAAACAAAAAGCCATGCCCAAATTTTGGTTTTGAGAGAAACCAGAAGTTATCTGTGGAAGGAAAAGAACACAGATAAAATCTAAACCTAGTCTATAACTGTCTTTTTAGAAGAGTACAAGAAATGGGCAGTCTTTCTGCCTTACTTCTCCAAAATCCAGCAACCACTTCTCTGACAGCACTATGAACGCTGCCTCTGGCTGGTCTCTGCTGGAGAGATGGGACTGTGGCTCAGGGATGAAGGGTGAAGCTCCTCAGCCATGTCTCCTTCAGGTTTCCTCTGAAGGAACAGAGGAACTTTGCTACCATGTGGTCTGAGAGAGAGGTTGTAGTTTTTTCAGCCATGCTCATTCTCTCTGACAAAGCATAAATGGTTTTGTTGCTGGGACACAGCACACCAGACCTCTGACAGATAATCAGAAGTAATCGTAGAAGCCACCATGTACATCTGCACTGGTACTTTCAAAGCTGACTTTGAAAATCTTTTCAGCTAGCCAAATCCAGATATACTTCCCTTTGGCATCCAGCAGGCTATCAAAATCATTCTGTGGCTGACCACAAGAACTATAGACCAAGAAAGAATTCATAGACATAACAGTCATGGTAACAATATATAACAGAAAAAAAATAACTTACGTAGTTCCAAAAAATTAAACACCACCAGTTCCCTGCAAGGGTGGTAATCAGAAATGGTAAACAGAGAAAGTTCCTTTTCTATGTCTAAACTGGTATTTAGGTTTGTCTCAGGGGTCACCATGGTGGAGCATAGCCCACGTGAGCTGCCCTTTCCTATCTATGTCTTACCTCGCTGCCTGAAGGAAAGGTCATCCGTTCTATGTTTTGCGTTGACAAAATGGAGCCCGTGTAGAAATCAGGAGCAGACTACCACTGTCTTCTTATTTGTCTCAGTATTTGGGCAGTCATGAGATAAAGTATGCGACAGAGGGTCTAAAGGCAGGAAGCATGTCTTGTGGGACTTGTGGTGGCCACAGCCCTCGGTTCAAAACACGCAGAGCCCTGGCATGCCTCAGATGCACAGCACGGGAGCACAACGCTGTGAATCAGGCTGGAAGCCCGTTTAGGTCCATGCTATATGCATTTCATGGAGGCAACCTTACCACCACCAGTGCAGACATCGATTTCACATTACATTTAATCTGATGTAACTGCATATGATGTAACCCAAGGAAAAGGTGGCCTCGATCCATCTTGCCCTTAGCCACATGGTCTTGCTGCTTCCTTTAAGTCTTATCAATTGATTATAGAGCAGCAGAGCAGGCTAATGGAAAATTAACCTGCCAGAAATAGCAAAACCCACGTAGTTTTCCAATGGGTCAGCTCATGGAACCACATCCCCCAGGTCCAATAGCTGGGTGCAGCCCACGAGAGGCAGAGGGAGCCTGTTGCTGTGGGTCAGGGAGTGCAGCAGGACTACTCTGGGTGGCAGCAACCCACCCGTAGGGCAGAGTAAGTGTGACTTGAAGCCACATCTGATGTCATCTTGTTCTCCCTGGCAACTATCTAATCAACTCATCCTGTCTCAGTAAAAAATCCCCTTCTTGTGCTCACCTATTAGTTATGGAAGGATGACATCTGGGCTGCCTTGCATGGTCTCAAAGGGCAGTTTGGCCACTATGGTGACTGCCTGGAAACCACCGGTAATTGCTCCCAGGTGCTGTCCACTGAGATCAGCACTGAAAAGGCAGAGCGCTCCCCATGTGCAATGCCTTTGTGCCTGGTGGCATTTCATCCAGGCCTCAGGCCATAACTGTGGAATAAGGGAGAATGGGTTTTGCAGAGTGGCTCATACCAAATAGGAGCAACTCATTTTTCATGTGCTTGATTTTTTTTGGAATAGGAGCTTTTAAGCTATCGCCATTGTTTCTTGTTAGTATCATATCCATCTTTAGGTGTTTTCCTTGTTGGAGGAGTGGGTGGGATATCTGTGCTTTATCACCATATTCTGAAAACCAGAATATTAAATCATACCCATGAGTAAGGACAGTTACTCTCTTTTTTTTTTTAAAAAAAAAAAATAGATTGCTGCTCTACCTCTTTATAACTTGTTGTCTCATGGATTCAGTTCAGATCCCTTCATACAGCATGATTTAAATTTTTTTTTCAGTATTTTTTTCAGTCTTTGCGCCTGTGAACAGTATGAAAGCCGGGGAGAGGTCTAATGTGCTTGACTGCTTTCCTT